GGTGATTAAAGTATCATTTCTCTAATAGCAACTTGTCAGCAAAACTTCCCAATGAAAAGGAGAAAAAAGCTTCTGAGGTTCACAAATGATTAGAAATGCTTTTAGGCATTAACAGAAGTGCTTATTTGTAGCTGTATATATTTAACCTCTATTTATATATTATATATTTAACCTCTTAGGACCTGGCGTCCACATATGTGGGCATCACATTTTGGGTTGTCTAGACCAAAATACTAAATCTTGCTCTACAAGGGCCTGAGATTCACTTACGAGGATCCTCCCACTGTTCTATCGAAATTTAAAACGAATGTCCTCATATGTGGATCTCAGTTTCCTCAGAAACAAAAATCAGGTAAAAAAAAAAAAAGAAATCAGGCAATTCTTTGTTTTTACATTCATCAGGTCCCAATGAACCCAAATAGCAAAGAGAAATTAAAAATGCTGTCATGAAAGAGTTCGGGTCTTAGGAGGCTCAAGTACTGATTCATCGATACTTTGTTAGTCCTCACAGCTCAGGTGAACAGAACCTTCAAAGACCTGCTGTGTATCAACACTTCTCCTGTATTTGAAACATTGATCCATCTAGAAGAGCTCACAACATAAGAGATGACTAAAGCCAGACGCTATGCTTCCAGTTTTATTTACATAAATCCCTTTGGATAGCAAGAAAATTACCTTAAGAAACATGAAAGGTGTTAAGGCACACAGAGAATCTGTGCGTAGCAAGAGTTCACACACAAATCCATGATTGATCAATATTTTCGTACCTGAATTCGTTTGCACTGTAGAAACAAATGAAGAAGTACCATGTGTACAAACCAACACAAATGGCTGCCGAAGGACATTTAACCTCTATAAAACGAATACGACTACAACTAAAGCTACTATTAATAGTATTAAGAATTGTTCTCATTATTATTATTGTTATTATTATTGTTGTTGTTGCTTTCATGTAATATTAACAGTTTTACAAAACACAACATGCTCAGTTACAATTAAATAAAAAAAGTAAATTGTATGCAAAGAAAACAAAATACTAAATTGAAACATTTATTCCAGTATTTCTTTGATCTTTTTTGTCTTTTATCAGTTTATCCTCCCTAAAATTATCTTATTGTTCATAAAAAAAGACTTCTATCACTTGCAGTCTAATTTTTTGTTTGTTCATAAAGTGA